GGTTATACATGTGCAGTTATACAAAACACTTCCATAGTAGACATGTTGTAAAAAACTAACTCTATTTCCCTTAATCCTATCCTGCCCCCACCATTTATTCTATTCTTTCTTTTGACCCTGTCCCTCCTCAGAAGTATTTGCTTCTAATTACTCCCTTTCCCAATCTGCTCTCCTCTCTATCAACCCCCTTCTCTCTTGTCCCCTTCCTCCCCTATTTTCCTGTAGGGTAAGACAGATTTCCATACCCAATTGAATGTGTATGTTATTCCTCCTTAAGCCAAATCCTATGAGAATAAGATTCACCCTTCCTCTCACCTTCCCTGTTTCCCCTCCACTGTAAGAGCTTTTCTTTTCTGTTTTTTTTTTGTGAGATAATTTACCCCATTCTACCTCTCCCTTTCTTCTTCTCCTAGTATAATCCTCTTCATCCCTTAATTTTATTCTCCAGATATGACCCCTTAATCTTCAACTCACCCTGTGCCATCTATCTATCTATCTATCTATCTATCTATATATCTACATATACATACATATAATTTTTTCCCTCAACTACCCTAATACTGACAAAGGTCTCATGAGTTATAAATATCATCTTTCCATGCAGGAATGTAAACAGTTCAACTTAATAAGTCTCTTATGATTTCTCTTTCCTGTTTACCTCTTCATGTTCCACTTGAGTCTTGTATTTGAAAGTCAAATTTTCTATTCAGCTCTGGTCTTTTCATCAAGAATGCTTGAAAGTCCTCTATTTCACTGAATGACCATTTTTTCCCTGAAGGATTATACTCAGTTTTGCTGGGTAGGTGATTCTTGGTTGTAATCCTATCTCCTTTGCCCTGTGGAATATTATATTCCATGCCGCCCTTTAATGTAGAAGCTGCTAAATCTTGTGTTATCCTGATTGTGTTTCCACAGTACTTGAATTGTTTCTTTCTGGCAGCTTATAATATTTTCTCCTTGACCTGGGAACTCTGGAATTTGGCTACAATATTCCTAGGAGTTTTCCTTTGGGGATCTCTTTCAGGAGGAGATCTGTGGATTCTTTCAATTTCTATTTTGCCCTCTGGTTCTACTATATCAGGGCAGTTTTCCTTGATAATTTCTTGAAAGATGATGTCTAGGCTCTTTTTTTGATCATGGCTTTCAGATAGTCCAATAATTTTTAAATTCTCTCTCCTGGATCTATTTTCCAGGTCAGTTGTTTTTCCAGTGAGATATTTCACATTGTTTCTATTTTTCATTCTTTTGGATTTGTTTTACAGTGTCTTGATTTCTCATAAAGTCACTAGCTTCCAATTGCTCTATTCTAATTTTTAAAGAAGTATTTTCTTCAGTAATCTTTTGGACTTCCTTTTCCATTTGGCCAATTTTTATTTTTAGGGCATTCTTCTCCTCATTGGCTTTTTGGACCTCTTTTGCCATTTGGGTTAGGCTATTTTTTAAGGTGTTATTTTCTTCAGTATTTTTTTGGATCTCCTTTAACAAGCTGTTGACTTGTTTTTCATGATTTTCTTGCATCACTCTCATTTCTCTTCCCAGTTTTTCCTCTACTTCTCTTACTTGCTTCTCAAAATCCCTTTTGAGCTCTTCCAAGGCCTGGGACTGATTCATATTTTTTTGGAGGCTTTGGATGTAGGAGCTTTGACTTTGTTGTCTTCTTCTGGTTGTATGTTTTGATCTTCTTTGTCACCAAAGTAAGATAATATAGTCTGACTCTTTTTGCACTGCTTGCTCATGATCCCAGCCAATTACTTGAGTTTTAAACTCTTTGTTAAGGTAAGAGTCTGCTTCCAATGTGGAGAATGTATTTTCCCAAGCTTCGGAGGTTTGTACAGCTGTTTTCAGAGACACTTGTAGGGACCTGCAAATTTTCAGTTCTTCCAAGGTGGTATGATTAGGGGCGAGGTGTTTACTCCTTTCCTGGCCTGTGCTCTGGTCTATTAGTGACCACAAACACTCCTTTCTGTCCTGGAACTATGAGGAGGGTTTTCTCTCTACAACCACTACAAGCTCCACCTCGCCAGCGCACTTCCTCACCCCAGGATCGCTGCCCAGAACTGTGACCCAGATCCAACCATGGGAAAAGCAAGAGATTCCTGCCTCAGCACTGGCAAAGAGATCCCTGCAATCTCCTTCGGATCAGCAGCTGGATTACCCCTCAGTCTGTGGGACAGAAGCTCAGGAGGCAGCCCCTGAGCCAGGCTGTGCTTGGGGAATGGAGCTGAGACCACCTCGCTGTCTCTCAGCACTGCAGATACAGACTTTTCCCACTGACCTTCTAAGTTGTCTTTTGCATTCTTGGGTTGAGAAGTCTGGAAACTGCCACAGCTGCCTGCAATTCAGCCCTCTGAGGCCTGCTCCAGGTTCACTGCAGCCCACGCCTACACCCCACTGTACTCCTCTCACCGCCCTTCGCGATATACCTTTCTGATCAACCCTCCAGGCTGTCTTGGGCTGGAAATTTGCTTCACTCTGTCTTTTTGTGAGTTCTGATGCTTTAGAATTTGTTTAGAGCCATTTTTTATAGGTATTTGGAGGGGTTTAGAGGAGAGTGTAAGCAAGTCACTGCTTTTACTCCGCCATAACAAATGCTTATTAATGTATTGGGTATATGCTAAACAAGAAAAGAAATGAATCAATTTCTCATCTTAAGGAGATAACATTCTTCAAGAGGAATACAGCATATGGGCAAGGTAAGGTGAGAATGGAGAAAATACTAGAGTAGAGGGAGAAAGTTGTTCTGGAGACTCCTGATCATCTAATTTCCCACAAACCTAAATCATGAAATCATAGGAGCTCAGGGACCAGTTAATAGACAATAAGGTGATGAAGTCTTCAAGAAAGGGAAAAGAAATGACTAATTTTTGTTTCCACTTTATGAGATGTGAAGAAATTCTTTAATCAAGCTTGATGGCATTATTGACCCATTGGCTGACAGAAGGATCCCCATACCCTTGGTGGATATTGAAAAAACAAGACACTCCCCAGGCAAAAGTCAATGCAGGAGATGTCTCTGAGTAGTTTAATCTCTGGAGGAGCTATGGAAGAACCACTTGGCTCCTAAGAGAAAGTGACTCCTTGTTCTTTTAAGGAGAGGGAGACAGTTTTCTCTCTCTTCCCCCTTCCCTATCAAACATGGTGTCTGGCAGTGCATCTACTTGCCCAGTGGGGACTTCTCACAACCAGGGAGCAGGCTGTGGGAGGAAATAAGATGTGCCCAACAGAAATATTGTGTCCATTGTGAAGACATCAAGAGAAGAGAAAGAACATCAGGCCCTGAGGCAATAGAAGTATGAGTCTCCTTGACTATACTGCTTTCAGTAAATGCTTTTGCTTTGAGTAAATTGTGTCAAATGACTGACTGTCAAAGGCAAAAGCGCTGATGGGGACTCATGAGCTGTTGTTTTAAAAATGTGGATCCACAGAGCACATTAAACCTGAGGTGGATCCCTCCATCCCTCCCACCACTCCCATGCAACCCTTCAAAAGTAGACTTACTGAATGTCCTACTGAAGCAACTAAAACTTTGCTTGGTTCTGACTAATGCAGTCATGCAGGAGGCAAATTTGTATAGAGTAGAGGAGGGAACAGTTGCCATAGTAAGAGAAAGCTTCATAATTTTTGTGAGTAGACTTGGCCTCACAAGGAGAATGAAAAACCAAAGCCCACCCCTGGTGACAGTCTGTAGGGAAGAGTAGAAAGAAGAGGAGCCAGGAAAAGACACTGGGAATACCAGCTGGACAGTTCAGAGTAGATCTTGGATACTGAAGGTCATTTGGAGATGTGTGGATACACAATGTGCAGGTGGTGGTGTTATAAAGGATATTTTTAAATGTTCAAAAGCTTCTCTTAGTAAAAAGGAGATAGAAGAAACCAAAACAATGGCCATCTTTTCCATTTTCTGTTGAGTTCCTAGACCTGGTGCTAGAAGGCAGTTTGAAGTTTCCAGCTCTCAGGTTAGGTGAGCACAAGCCTCAGTGAGGAAGCTGATTCTATCAAGAATCTTTACTTAAGCACCAACTTTGAACCTTTCTATGTACATCCAACCACATGTTGAAAGGACTGTGGCATCTACTGGGGGAAAACAATGTTTCGATTAGATATTAACTAAGGGGGAGCTTGAAAAGAGATTCCTACAAGGGCAGGGGTATCCAACTTTTTTATGATGAGGAAATGCCTTGACATCATCTGAGTCAGGCAAATACTACTCATTAGTACAGGCAGCAGAGAAGAGCTGTCATTTCAGCCTCAGCAATTTTGGTCAACCTTCAGATAGACATGGATATAAGGAGACAGCCAATCTAGAGTGGAAGCAGCTTCTAGGAACATGAAGAAACAGAGAAGAGAGTCAGACTGCAGAGAGAAGACCCCGGATATCCAGCTGAGTAACCCATCCAGAGAGAAGCAATTTCTAGCTCATGTAGTACCAGGAGTTGTGAGTAGGCTTTGCCACATATGCATCCTACACATGTGCCTCACTACCACTGTGCTCCAAGTTTGAACCCACTTTCCCCATAGACACCATGTATTTGTGGGAGAGTATACCCCAGGTTTATGGGGGGGAATATTTGGTAACTACTAGTCTTTCTGAGTAAATGTCTTTGCTCATTCTGTCTGCTGGCTGGTGGTAAATGGGGGCTCTTGAGATAATAGGGATGTAGACCCACACAGTTGCCCCTACTACCTGGGACAGCAGCCTTTATTTGGGAAACCAACCCATAACTGTGTACATAAGTTGGGGAGGAGTCCAGAGAAGGTGCTACCCAAATTTGCTTGGTAGTTTTATAGGGTACCCTAATGTTCCTTGACTATTGGAAAGCCAGAATCTGTTATGGCATGAGCTGAGATGTAAAATGATTTAAAGCAAATAATTTCAGAATTGATTAAAAATTTTAATTGATAACTTTTGTTCTTATATCACTTTATTTCTGAATATAACCTTTCCCCTTCCTCTATCCAGTGAGCCATCCCTTATAACAAAGAATAAAGAGAGGAAAAAAGGGAACCTTGACTAAAACTAACTAATACATCATCAAATTCAAAATCTACTTTTAAAAGATCTATGTTTCATTTCCATTGTGTTTATTGATACAGAATGCTCATGAAAATAACCAGATCCATTCTGGACTGTGCCTCTAAAAGGAGCCCACATCATCATTCTTGGCTTTGCCAGTCTGGTAGTCGGACAGCTCAACTGGTTTATTCTCCTGAGGGAGAGGTTCGTATATTTTCAAATGTATGTATCGATCGCCCCCAACATGTACCTGCAAATAAAGAGAAGTGGACAATCAGTGACATGTATTCCAACCCAGCACTTCTCAACCTCAGGGCCATTGTATGGGCATTGCTGTTTTAGGTGGTGGTTTTGACTAGATGATCTCTGATATGAATTTTATATTTTTATTCTAACCTATCATGCTTTGAAAAAAAAATATTGCAGAAAGTTACCTGAGAGATCATTTAGTTTTATTTTTAAAGCTAAGGGAACTGAGTCTCACAAAGGTCCAATGAATGAGAATATTCAGATAGACACCAGTATCATAATACTGTTAGTTATTTTTTTTTCTTTTTGGTAAGGAAATCAAGGTTAAGTGACTTGCCCAGGGTCACACAACTAGCAAGTGTCAAGTGTCAGATGCCGGATTTGAACTCAAGTCCTCTTAAGTCCAAGGCCAATACTCTATCCATTGCACCACCTAGCTGCCCCTGCTATTGGTCATTCTTCAAGTCACAGATTTAAAGCTGGAAGGAACTTTAGTCCCATCTGCTCATTTTGTAGTTGAGAAAACTAAGTCCCAGTGAGGTTAGTCACTTGTCCAGTTTGTAAGTTACTTGTAAGGCATGTAGGGGATGCAGTGGAGAGAATGATAGGCCTGGAGTTAGGAAGACCTTCAGTCATTTCCTGTCTGCCACAGTTTCCTCAAATGAACTCCTCAGTCCCCCCAAATGGGGATAATAGCACTTACTTCATAGAGGCTTGTGAAGATCAAATAAGAACACATTCACAAAGAGCTTAGTATCTACCTGGCACACAGTAGCTGCTTAATAAATACTTGTTCTTAACCCCCTCCCCCACCATTCTCTTCCTTTCCCTTGTCCATAGGCACAAGGTAATTAGCAGCTGATCCCAAATCCAGGGCTGTTTTCATTACAGCACAGCTGACCCCAGTTGTTAAGCACCTGGATTTTTGAACACCTAAGCAACTAATTTTTAATAACAGAGTCAATTACTGTGTTGAATTGGAATTGTGCCTCTGTCCCAGAGTTTCATTTATTTTTAAAGCTTTTATTTTCTGAAATGTATAGAAGAAAACGATCGTGTGTCATACAAAAATATGGGTTCCCCCTTTTTGATTTTTACCCAAGCCCTTATGAAATGTTATGGCCTTTGTACATCTTGTGTCTTCCTTCTAATGCTGTGCTCCTGGAGGGATAGCCCTAGCTGCTCACTGGTCCCATCTGTGGTTTTTAATCTCCCATATCCCTCCCAAATAGTAGCACTTAGCACACTGTCTTTAACAGAGTTCTGTCCTTAGAAAATCAGAGTAAATGAAACCAACAAGACAGCTAGGCGGTGCTTTGGATAGGTAAGTCACATAACCACTGTAGGCCCCAAGTGACTCCCTAGGACTGATCAGACAAGTCAATAGTTGGGTTCAGATCCGTGTTAGTAGAGAGGGTTCTCAGATCCAGCATTTCCCACAAAAAGAGAGAATGCTGAGCCTGGAGTCAAGAAGACCTGAGTATGAATCTCACCTCAGACACTTACTGGCTGTGTGACTCTAGGTAAGTCCCTTAATCTCATTTTCCTCACCTGGGAAATGTCTCTCCCTCAGTTGTAAGCATCCAATGAGGTGATACTTATGAAGGCCTTAGCACACAGCTGGTACTTGATCAATTCTTGTTTCCTTCCTCCCTAGGCTGCAGCAGATGCTACTGCCTGACTGACATCCCATAGCACCTTAATATACCCTCCTCAACTCAGCTGAGATAGTTCTACTCTGCTGCACCTTACATAGAGAAACACTTGGATCCTTCCTGAATACATTTCCTGGGTATGTCTACCCACAATCCCCAAAGTGGCCAAGGAGTTCCCAGATGTGTGCCACTGCTAGATACACTGAGGGAATCGAGGGTCATATATTTCTTTTAAAATTATGCTGTAGTGCACAGAGTGCTGGCTTTGCACCTGGAGAGGGTTCAAATCCTCTGACACTTATTAGTTGTATGACCCTAGGTAAGTCACTTCACCACCTTAGGTAGGCCCCAAAGCAACTCACTGGGGCTAATCAGTGAAGGTAATAGATGAGCTTAGATCTGTGTTGGTAGAGAGGGTTCACAGACCCAGAATTTAGTACAGTGATAAAAATCCATCATGAATTTGGATAAAATCCCCCAAATATATCTAAGATTTGGAAAAAGTAAAGTGCACTTCAATAATTTCTGACAAGATTGTGTTTGAAATTCTGGGCACCAATGAAAGTGATTAGGGTCTGTGGTGACCTGGTGCTCACGTTTTGTGATATTATATCTCAAGCAGCATAGAATCTAGTTGGATTCAGAACATAAACATATAAGCCTTGTTTGAGAAACTATCATGACTTGAAAGACCAAGTACTTTGGGAATTTTCTCACTCTTTTATCTTATGGTTCCCAACCAGGAAAGCTTGGGACAATGTATCCTCAGACTTATTCTTCACTTGCAAGCATACAGTTCACAATCTTGTGTGCTAACATGTTATTAGAGGACTCATGAAAGCAAATGGAATTCTCCAAATGAATAATCATGAGTAAGTAAAGTATGTGTATAAATTCTCAGAGTCACAGTTTTAAACATTAAAGAAGCAATAGAAACTCATTTCTATAAATCCTGCCTTGGCCTTACTTCTTTCTAGTTGCCTGGCTACTCAAAGTGAGGGTAAAGGGAGAGCCTTTTCATTCTCTTTTCTCTCCTTCTTTCCCTTTCTCTTCCTCTCCTCTCTCATTTCATTATCCATTCTTTGTTGTCATCTCTCAGTTTCAGTATGAGAGCAAAACCTACCAGGTTAGTCCTCTTCTACTCCTCAGGTTGTCGTGAATCTCTTCCCAAAGTCCCTTCCTCCTTTCTGCCCTCTTCACTTTCTCTCAGTTACCGCACCATCACTTTATATTTCCCCTGGGGCAGAAGCTTTATTTTCTCCAGTTACTCATATGGGAAGGGGACAAACTATTCCAACACTTTCTATGTAGATCCAAATGGAAATAAACTGAGTAGAATTCAATGACTTGTTGAACACTGACCTTTACATAATATATGGTCCCAGCAACTGTTTGTGTTCTATAATTTACAGCTTCAAAGGAGTCATATTTTTCATTGGACTTTTTTTCCAACTGTGGCTTTACCTTAAGAAAAAAGAAGAGGGTAAAGAATTTAATGGTTATCTTAAAGTAATATTAGGTTTGGTTTACTCAGTGGCCAATGTAACACTGACAACAATGGAAACTTTAGTCAAACTGCTCTTTTCCCCTAATTCATAAAACAAGTAATAAATGGTTTTTTAAAAAATCTGTATTTTTGCCTGCTGTGCCTAAGGCACTGTGCCAGGTGCTGAGGATAAAAACAACAGCAACCACACAACCAGCCCCTGCTCTCAAGGAGCTTATATTCTACTGGGAGGAATACAATATTTGCCCAAATCAGTAAATACCAAATAAATTAAAAAAAACTTTCAAAAAAAAAGAATCAAACAGCAATTATTTCCTCCAAATTGAGAGTAAAGGATTGATAGATTGATTGACCACTCAAGTAATGGGTAGCTAGTGTTCCCTCAGAGACTACAGTGCACATCTTCTGGTAAGGATTCTATAAATCTCTGAGTTGGTAAGGATCCTAACATAGAGTCTCATTATCTTAGTTGGAAGATATCTCAGTAGCTAATCTATTCACAGTCTTATCAATAACAGAAAAACCACCTCCAGTAGATGACATATCTAATGAGTTGAAGGGCAGTATGGTGCACTGGACAGAGTCCTGGATATTTATCCAATGGACCTGGGTTCACATCTTGTCTCTGTCACTACCTGTGTGACCTTGAACAATTGCTTCACTTATGTGGGCCTCAGTTTCCTTATCCATAAAATAAGGGGTCTTGACCCTAAGGCTTGGCCACTAAGCTCTCTTCCATCTTTAAAATCTATGATCCCAATTGTCATCCAGCCTTTGTTTGAAGATTTCCAACTAGGAGGGACAGTGGCATGGTGAAGAATACTACCTTTGTAGTCAGAGAAGCTGGATTCCCATCCTGTCTCTGATCCCTATTACATGTGACCTTGTGCAAGTCACTTGAAGCCTCAGTTACCTCATCTATAAAATGAGGAGGTTGGACTAAATTATCTCTGAGGTCCCTTCCAACTCTAGATTTATGATTCCATGACCTTCTCATTCTCCTTTCTGGTAACTCTAGTTATTAGAAAGGTTTTCTTTATTTCAAGCTTAAATTTGTTTCTTTTCAACTTCCCCTCATTGCAACTGGCTCTGTCTTCTGGGGCCAAACAGACCAAATCTCATCCCTCTCTATGCCTTCAAGTACCTGAAGACATCTATCATAGTTCCAGTGAGCCTTTTCTTCTCCATGCTAATCAACCAATCAATAAGCATTTATAAAACACCTACTTCGTGTTTAGGCATTATGCTAGATATTGGGGGTACAGAGACAAACAATCCCTCTGTTTAATCTGGAGAAGAAAAAGACTCATTTTGGTGCCCAAATATCAGGTGTAGAATTAGTTCTTTAGTAATTATCATCATCTGATACTTCTGGTTGTTCAATCTTTTCAGTGGTGCCCAACTCCTAATGACCCCATTCAGGTTTTGGTTTTTTTTTTTTTGGCAAAGATATTGGAGTAGTTTGCCATTTCCTCCTCCAGCTCATTTTACAGATGAGGAAACTGAGGTAAACAGGGTTAAGTGACTTACCCAGGTCACACAGCTAGTAAGTGTCTGAGTCCAGATTTGAAATAAGGAAGATGTGTCTTCCTGACTCCAGGCTCTATCTACTGTGCCACTTAGTTGATCTAAATTTGCAAAGCATTTTATTTACATTCATTCATTTGACACTGCTCTCAACCTAGAATTCAATAGCTCAAGAGGCGTCTTGATTGGAAAAGAAAAAATTTAATTAACAGCAGCTGATGAGTGGTTGGGCCACTAGGTGGTGCAGTGGCCAGATCAGGAAGACTCAAATCCTGCCTCAGACATTTACTACTTGTTAGGAAAGTTTGTCTTTAAAAGGTTAAGTGCAACCTGAGCTCAGGGCTAGTACTATGCAATGTGTATTCTTTTGATGTAATAATAAGCTGCTTTTGCTATATTTTTCCTGAGCCTACCTTATTTCTTTAGGGTGAAACCCTAACGAAGATTTTTCTTTCAACACTATGCTTCTTGGTTACAAGCCAAACCAATTGGCTTGGTTATAAGCCAATACAAGCCTCTATTGTTTTTCCAATAGAGGTGAGTAGAAGAAGGAGAGAAAATAGATTTTTGTTCATTGAAAAAAATTAAACTAAGTTTAAAAAAAATTTCTTAGCAGTCAAGAGTCAGGGAAAGAACAACAGAACATTTTCTTCCAGCTTCTCCTGTACCATACAATGTATCATCAGATTTAACATCTTTGGCCCTGAGCCCTGTGCTTCCCAGGATTACCTCACTCACCCTAATACCTCAGGCAGTATTAAAATTGTCAACTTCTAACTTCTCACTTAATCTTTGGCATCTTATACAAGCACACACTCTTGGATTTTCCATTTGATGTTACTGTCACTATTTTCCTACAGAAAGACAAGGGCTTATAATAACAAGGAGAAAGGTATAAGGCTATACTTCAAGCACACGTAATTTTGTCAGTGTGGGTATATCCTCTTCCTATATAGATTACAAATATTGGAATATAGATGGGCTTCATGAGTGGCTGTGTCCAATATATACACATTACTTGGTTTATCATTTTTCTGATAATGGACTTTTCATAACTAATCTGGGCTGGTCCTTGGTCAACAGGCATACAATTTGTCACCAGGCCTTTCTGACTAGGTAGCACCTGTGAGAGCTTAAGCTCCATTGACATAGTTTCGGAGAGCACATGGTCACCTCCCCACTATGATAAAGCATTGGTTTACACCTAACTGTTATGAGAAGTCTTAAAAGTGTATAGAAGTAATAGGTATCCCAGGTCTTCATGGAAATATGAATGGAACTAACTTACAGAAGTGTAAATGCCTTGTTCTCATCTGTAAATGAGTGTTCTCTGCCTCATTTCTTATTTAGCCTTAATCACTGAATGGGCATTGCCTCAGTCAGACTGAGATCTGTTAAAGACCTTAGCTTAAAAAGGCCAAGGTCCCCCACTGCATCAAGGGCCAAGATCCAGTTGTTCTGATCTATATCTTACCACTGCACCCAGTTGACTAGAGAGGAGAAAGTGAGGCTGGTGACTTTGCAAAGCCCTCCCTCACTTACATCCAATTCACTTGCATGTCATGGCATCACCTTCCTGATGTCATGGTTCTCTTTGAGAAGGAAGGACAAACAACAAATGAGTGTGACAGTACCTGTCCTGACAGGTAGAGTGATATAGTGGAATGAGCTCTGCCTCTGGTGTTGGGGACTCAGTTTCAACTTCTCCCACAGATATTTACTACCTGTGTATTATATTGGGCAAACCTTGACCTCAGTTGCATCATCTATTAAGTGAGGGGGTTGAACTAGATGATTTCCTATGGACCTTCTAGTTCTAGGCATTCTAAGTCCAGGGTATGCAGACAGACCCCCAAGGAACCCAAGATTAGATTTCAGGGGTCCATGAACTTAGATATAAAAAAAAAATCACATCTTTATTTTCACTAAACTTTGGTTTCCTTTGTAATCTTACATAAAGTAGCATCACTTTTTTGTTACGCATTTAGAAGCATTGTTCAGAGAAGGGGTCCATAAGCTTCACCAAATTGCCAACAGGATCCATGACACACAAAAAGGCAGAGAACCCTGGGTTCGCTCTGTGATCCTATGATGGCCTCACAAAGTCATAGAGAACCACAAAAGCAGCACTTTTAGAGATGGACTGGACATCAGCGGCCATCTAGTCCAACCCATCCCTGAAAGGAATTCCTGATATAAGATGCCTGGCATGTGATCATTCCACCTCTACTTGAAAGGGAAAGGGAGGGGATCGCCAACTCCACATGTCAGTCTATTCTGCTTCTGATCAGCTCTAATAGTTAATTGACCCTATCTGCGATTTACACATATTATTCCTGCCTTTGCCCTTTGGGTCCAAGCAGAACAAGTCTAATAGTTCTTCCAAATGATAGGCTTTCAAATGTTGTTGTTGTTGAGTCCTTTTAGTTGTGTCCAACTGTTTGTGACCCCATTTGGGGTTTTCTTGGCAAGGATGCTGGAATGTTTTGCTATTTCTTTCTCCAGCTCATTTTACAAATGAGGAAACTAAGGCAAACAGGGTTAAGTGACTTGCCCAGGGTCACACAGCTAGTAAATGTGGGAGGTCAGATTTGAACTCAGGAAGATGAGTCTCCTTGACCCTAGGCCCAGCACTCTGTGCACTATGGTGCCACCAGCTGCTGCCTTCTTTGAAAGCTACTTGAGGGTAGATATTTTGCTCCCCCATAGTCTTTTCTTCTCCAGGCTAAACACCCCCAGGCCCTTCAATAGATCCTCATGTGACATGGACTTGAAGCCCTTCACGCTATTTGTTGCCTTCTTTTGAACACTTTTCGGCCCATACGTTTATTTCATAAACTAAGAAAGAAACACAAACAACTTATCATTTTGGTCACAGAGGTCAGAATAATCATCACCAGCATCTGTTTTATTGCTTAGAAAGTGTCTATCTGTTGACTCATTAGTCAGAGACCAGTGGGGTCTCTTTGGCAACATGGCTTTGTTCTACATCTTTTTGGCCTTGACAAACAAGGTTGTTCCAGTGGTTTCTAAATTATAATCATCAGATTGTTAATGATTCTATGCCAGACCTGCACAACTTGGCATTAGGAGATGCCATAATTAAAACGGACTAAACTTCTGGCTGCAGACAGGGTAGATTAGAGACAGACTGATGATGGCTGGTTCTTGTGGATGTGCAGTGGCAACACTGCATTTTTTGTGGGCCGCCCGAAATCCTTTGGTGGGTCACACGCGGTCCACAGCCAGTGTGTTGTGCAGACCTGTCCTACGCTTTAGTTACAGATTGACTCCACCCCATAAAATTAGAAAAGTGTCCTCAGAATCTTAGCTGATAATCATAGACTCAAACAATCTTAGCACTGGAAGGCCATTAGAGATTCATATTTCAATCTGTGCATTTTACAGACTGAGCAACACGGCTAGACTAGATGCTGCCTCTAAAATGTTAAATGTTACATGATTAAAAAGAGATCTGAATAGGAGCAATAACTTCTTCCATTCTGTAGTATTTTTGTCTTCCCTCTTCACAAAATCGTTCTTTTTTTTCCTTTGATTTTGTATTTTTTAGTCTGATAAATCAATGATTTCTTAATGGCATCTTAAGTACACCTAGATCTTGTAATTGGTTTAAATTAATTGACAACACAAAGGATTGATGATGAGTTAGAAAAGAACATTTTGTCATTTTGTCAGTCAATGTCTTGTCCATAAACTAAACCAAATTATCTTTGCAGATTTCATAGGGTGCAGGAAACTATGTAAATTCGTTTACTACTCAGGTGAAATTTCCATATTTTCTAATATGTCTGCCTGCCAAATAAAGCCATTCTGAATGTTACCTTCAGTACCCAGAGAGGCACATATTTTTATTTTTAAAATTGATGCCTTTCGTTTTTACATCACCTTTGTTTACAAAGAGCTAGCTTTGCTCTCTCTCCTCCCCACTGAGCCATGGTGTGTAATAAAGAATTAAAGTTTTAAAAAAAGAGAAAAAAAAGCAGTTCAACAAAAACTAACCAACTATGTCTGATAGTCTAGGAAACATTCCACACCCATAGTCTCTCACCTCTGCAAAGAAGAGAGGAAAGCACCTTTTCATATCTCTTCTCTGGATCCAGGCTTGGTCATTTTAATTATGCAGCATTTAGTTTTATTATTTTTTTTGCCCTTTCTAAGCTGGCAAAGACATGAGGGGTCACCTACTCCAATCCTTTCATTTTATGTTTGAGGAAACTGGGGTCCAAGGGAATTAAGCCAATTACCAAAGGTCATACTGATAGTAAGACTCAGAGGGTAGGATTTGAGCCCACTTGCTCTGACTTCTACTTCAGGCCTCTCTCATCACTGTACCAGATTCCCATTGCTGCAGCCATTGTGTATATTCTTTTGTCAGTTTCTGTTTACTTTGCATCATCTCATATAAGTCTTCCCATGCTTCTCTAAGTTCTTCATACTTACCATTCTTTGTGGTATATGAATGTTCTATTTCATTCATGTACCACATTTATTTTTAGCCATTTCCTAAATCAATGACCATCTAACTTTGTTTCCAGTTCTTTGCTACCACAGAAAATGCTGCAATGGATAAATCAGTGAATGCAAACTCATAGAGATGATAGACCAACCTAAAAAGTAGTTCTTTGAAAACAGTAACACAATTGACAAACTTTGAGAGAGAGAGGGAGGGAGAGAGAGACACACACAGAGACAGGGAGACAGAGAGAGAGTAAGAGAGAATGGCTATCAAGTTACCAGAACGCATTATTTTCAATTAGATCCAGAAAGCACCACCTCACCTCGTCAACTATCTTCTGGATTTCTGGAGTTGCAGGTTGAGTTTCATCTAAGCCTCCAAGCATGATTTTGGTGGTGATTGATTGTGCTGAAAGAGATGCTAGAACTGAACTGATGAAAAATGGTAAGATCAATCATTCTCACTCCAATTTTAAAGGGAGGTAGGCTTTCCTCATACCCAATGACTGCAAGGGTATGTCGTAATAAAGCACCGCCTTCTTGGCTGTAGAAACGACTTATTACTCACCTATTACCATGTGTTAATTCATGAACATGAATGTAAAGTATTGTCATATAATAAACATGCTCCTCAAAGCCTTTTTTTAAAGTGGGCAAGGAAAAGCAACCCTCTATTCTCTGAGTAAATAGTTCAGTCCGGGGATGACTTCTCAAAAGCACTAATTAAACAAAAGGAAAGTGTCTACTTTATATTGAAAGGCCTTTTTTCCCAATTATACTTGCTCATTTTTAATAATAATTAATTCTCACTCCCTTCCTCAAGGAATAGGTGGAGACTTTGGCCATAACTGTTCCTCTAAAATGCTGATATTCTATGAATTTGTGGAGGAAACACCTTTATTCTACAGCTTAGTATTTAAATGTGCTTACCAAGCAGAGCTGGTTTTTCAACATGTGTGAAGCTATGGGGAAATCTCTTCAGGGCAGGGACTGTGCTCAGATTTTTGGATCTCTCCTGTAGTATCCAGCATAGTGTCTAGCATAAAGCAATAGGTTGATAGACTTTGAATCTATCATTCAATAATTTGAATCAATCAATCAACAGACATTTATTAATCACCTATTATGTGCCAGACATTGTGCTAGGGAATGGGGATACATAGAAAAAGATAAATTAGTTCCTTCTTTCAAAATTTTACATTTTAATAGGGGAGGTAAGTGCATATATTATCATGTTAAGAATATATATAAAGAGAATAAGTTAAAATAAAACCAAAGTAGTTAAACACAAGGTAACTTGGTTAGAGGGCACCAGAATTTGGGGGGATCTGGAAAGACTTCACATAGAAGGTGGTCTTGAAGAAATAGAGGAATTCTCTGAGGGGGATGTGAAGGAGCGGGAATAAGAACAGGAGACAGCCAATGCATAGGCACAAAGATGAAGAATGGGATGGCATATAAAGAGAGCAATGATTGACCAGATTGATTGGAATGTCAAGTCTTTGAAAGAGCATTTGCAATAAACCTGGAAAGGTGTGCTGGGGACAGATTGTAAAGAGCTTTAAAAATTAGAGAAATTTGTAACTGATCCTAAAAGCAAGAGGAAGCCCTTGGGTCAATCCCTTTGTCTGGCAAATAATTCTTCCATTTTTTTAAAAGTTTGGATTTCTTAAATGAATCTGCCTGCCTGTTCATTTAAAAAAAATTTTTTTTACTTTTATTTTTCTAGTAACAAGAACTTTTAAAAAATTAGTCTGTCCCTCCTGCTACTCCCTTCCCCATTCAGCAAATTTTAAAAAAGAAAAGGAAATCTCTCGAAATACAACTACATTGTCTTCCAAAGCAAATTCCTCCATTGGTTCTGTCTGTAAATGTGTGTCTCTTTCTGCATATTAAGTTCATCTTCTCTCTGTTAGAAGGTGAGTGGCATGTTTCCCCTGGATTCTTTTGGACTCATGGTTCATCATATTGTGTTGATGAAAATTCTGAAGTCTTTCCTAATTATTTTTCTCTGTGATCCTGTTATCATTGTATAAATTGTTCTCTTGGTTATGCTCACTTCTCTCTGCATCAGTTCATAAAAGTCTTCCCAGTTTCCTCTGGAGTCGTCAGTTCCATCCCTTCTTGCCACAGAGTAATATTCCACTACATTCATGTACCATGATTCATTTAGCCATTCTCCAATAGGCTACCCCCTTATTTCCAATTTTTGGTTACCATGAAAAAGCACTGCCATCAGTATTTTTGTACATATAGGTCCTTTTCTTCTTTCTTTGGGGTAAAGTCTCCTGGAGTAGTGTTAGGTACTTGCAGGTTTAAATGGATCTTCTGGTACCTAGTTTTGGTAAGTCTGTAGAAGATCACACAATCACAGAATAAAATGTGGGTTAGTGGGAGAAGCCCTGGACATAGAGGCAGAGAGTCTTAAAATTACTTTGTGCATCTAGTACCGTCTGACTTTTGGTACCTCATTTAATCCACGTGAGGCTTAGTGTGTTCATCTGTAAAGTGGGCATGATAAAACTTGTATTATCTACCTTTCATAGGGACATCATGATATAGTACATAGAATTCTGGCTTCAGAGTCAAAGTCATCTGGGTTCAAGTCTAGCTCCTGACACTTTTTGGTTTTGTGACTTTGGACAAGGCACAGCCTCTCTGTGCCCCAGGTTCTTAAGGTTCTATTTACCCTGTGCCAGGTAGTAGGGATTCAGAGCCAAAAATGAAATATTCCTCATTGTCAGGGGCTCCCATTCTCGCAGGGTAGATAGCATGCAGACATGTAGGTAGATGTAAAGCAATTTGGGGAGGGGAGATAGTAACAGGGTAGTGATTCTCAAACTTTTTTGTTTTAGGACCCCTTTATAATTTCAAAAGTTACTGAAGACCTCCCACCACTTCCCCACCAAAACGTTTATTTGTTTAGATATTTATCTAATTTTATAGTATTCAAAATTAAAGGGCTTTAGCATTATTATAAAAATAGTTTTCACCCTGTGGACCCCAAACTGCTGAGCTAGGGGGCGGCAGGAAAATCTTTATGTAGGAAATGACTTTTGAGCTATGTTGCAGAAAAGTTACCCATCTATTGTGAGAGAGGGAGCTGCCTCTCTAGGGAATTCTTATAGGTCCAGAGACTAGCCCTGTGGTGTAGCAGAAATATCAGACATGCAAACACATTCTCTGGCCACATGCTGCCCATGACAGTTTCTGTCTTGACTACAGCCTGAACCAAAATAAACTGTAATTGGGAAATGTTCAGCATAAATAAAAATACTATAAGACAGAGAAAATGTTGATTTGTTAATACACACCCACAGGGATTGGTTTCTATTTGAGTTTGGCACTACCATAGAGTACTTCGAAATGAGATCACTCCCTGTAGTACCTAAGGATATGGCACCTTCATCTTCTAGTCTGAAAGCCAAGAACAACGAGATGTTACGTGAGTGGCTGAGAGTTCCCCAGCCAGGATGTGTCAGAGGAACTTCTATCTTCCTGATTTGGAGGACAGCTTTCTATCCACTCTGCCAAGCTGTCTCTTGCTAATGAACTTAAAACTGTGGGCCCTTTTCTTCCTGTCCACTCTGTCTGCCTCTCAGAGTTTTTTCCCCTTAATTTTTTATTCATTTTGAACTTATATAAAAAACGAAAAAAAAGAACATTTTCATGTATATGGCAAAACATAAAAAGAGGATTCCATATAAAACCATGAATTTCCATTTCACACTTTCCTTTTTTAAAAAAAAAACCTAAGTAATAAATGCTATGCATTATTTTCAAAGCTACTCTGCTTTTTGGTGTTTCCTTCAAAGTTTTCTTTTGTTCTCATTTGTGCACTTTTTATTTTTTTTCTCCCTCCCTCTGCACCCCACCATAGAGAAGGTTATCATTAGACACAAGTATGTGTCCATTATACATACTTCTATTTATTAATTCTTTCTCTGGATGGTCCTTTGTAGTTGATTTGAGTTTTATAATACTCAAAATGACTTAGTTGTTCAAAGTTGTTCTTAGAACAATATTGCTGTTACTGTGCACAACTTTCTTTTGGTTTTCTCATTTTACTCTTCCCTCTCAGAGTTTTGTTAGGAATACTTTAATATTTGGAGGTAAACATTCTCTCCAAAGATATAGCTCTCAACCCATCCACACTTCCTTATTCTAGGTTCTTGACCATTTCCTCCCAGAAATCCTTACCTGACATCTATCCAAGATGGTGGGCCTTCTTCTAGCTCTCTTGGCATTGTGTTCTTTTTTAAGTGTGTTGTCTTAACCTTGTGAATGGCCTTTCTGAGGAAAGCACTTTGTCAACCTTTAAATGCTAGCTTTAAAAAACGGAGCTATTGTTTCATAAATATACCATTTATCCTAACAATTAAATAGAAGGCCTTAATGATTATGTGACTCTCCCCCAAAGTCCCAGCTCTAGGAGGCAAGAGAAAAATAAGACTAGATAGTGAGGTATAATAAGAGATGACAGCTGGATAAGGCCTGCTTTAGGAAATCTATCCCCAGGGCCATTTGTTCTGCTAGTCACAAAACAGAATCTTTGCCCTGGTGTGTCTTCTCCAGCAGTAGCTCACATTTACATCTCACTTTATGATTTACAAAGAGCTTTTCTCACAGAGCCTGGGTGATGAAGGCAGGGCAAAGTCCCAGGATGGTTGCCCACCAAGCAGCTCTGGAAGGGCCCGTTGAAAGTCACCAAGTATAATTATCCTGCTCAGTTTCATGGACAGTTTTTAAGCACTTCTATCATGGCCAAATAAAATGACAAATGAAAGTTAAGTCAAAGGTCAATTAGAGTGGGTGTGGAATTAGAGGTCCTTGGGTTCTAATCCTGCCGCTGTCACTTCCTTCCTGTGTTACCTCAGACAAGTCAAAACCATTCTGGCCTTCTTCTATTAAATGAGAAGGTTGGACTCAATGAGCTCTAAGATCCCTTCCCACTCTTCACCTACAATCTTATGATTCAATATCACAATGAGTAATGATTTCAAAGGGATTACAAAGATGACAAAAATGGGAAGCACATGAGAAAGGCAAAGAATTGGGTAGGCAGCTAGGTGTCACAGTGGATAGCACACCCTGAATGGTTGCCCCCCAAGCAGCTCTGGAAGGGCCCATTGAAAGTCACCAAGTACAATTATTCTGCTCAGTGTCATGGATGGTTTTTAATCACTTCCTTCATGGCTAAATAAAATGACAAATGAAAGTTAAGTCAAAGGTCAATTAGAATGAGTGCAGAGTTAGAAAGGTTCTAATCCCACCTCCATCATTTCCTACCTGTGTTACACAAGTCAAAACTTTTCTGGGCTTCAACTATAAAATTTGAAGGAAAGAAAGAAGGAAGAAACAAAGAAAGAAAGGAAAAAACTGTGTTGCTCATCTGGTAATTTTCAACTGGGTCCCCTA